TGGATAGCCCACAGACATACCATAAACATTTCTAGGACCCATAATTGGTCTCCTTTAATAACAGATACTATCCCTAAATAGGTAATTACTCTGCACTGAATTCAAGGGAAGCACAAATGATCAGTTGACATCCAGGGAGTGAGTACCTGGGTGTTCACCTGAACAATAAACTGGACTGGACTCACAACACGGACTCTTTACAGGAAGGGTCAGAGCAGACTCTACCTGCTGAGGAGGCTGAGGTCTTTTGGAGTGCAGGGGGTGCTCCTGAAGACATTTTATGACTTGGTGGCGTCAGCCATCTTCTACGGTGTGTTAGCTGGAGCAGCAGCTTATCTGCATCTGAGAGGAAGTRGTTAGATAAGGTCATCAGGAAGACCAGCTCTGTGCTGGGATGCCCCCTCGACACAGTGCAGGTGGTGGGAGACAGGTGAACTCTGACTAAAATAACATCATTAATGAACAACGTCTCCCACCCAATGAAGCTGTGACTGAACTGGTGAGCTCGTTCAGTGACAGACTGCTGCATCCGAGGTGCACGAAGGAGCGTTATCACAGATCCTTCCTCCCAGCAGCTGTCAGACTCTATAACCAGCACCATGCCCAAAAATCACAATAAGTGTTTACCAAAAACACGTGTTTACACACCTACTGCTGCACAATCATTTGCACTTTTACTATTGTTGTTATATTGTAATTACTCAACTGAACATTGGGCCTCATGCAAGAACATGTTTGTATTCTTATCCTAAATTTCTCTTACTTTTGTTCGTACGAAGGGTTCGTTCGAACATGCCACGTCAGATTCAACAAACTCTTCTATCTTCAGGAAAAGTGTGTAAATGAGCTGTAACAAGCCATTTGTAGTTTTATTTCTTTTATTTCTAATATAATCTTTATTTTTTCACACTTAAATCTCTCCCGCTATGCCTTTTCATGGAAAACAGGCAGAGTTCTGGAGTACAGAAGCTCATGGTGAAAGGGGGAGGGGGGTTTCCGCTTGACGAACACATGGTTCCACCCACGTGACGGGATTACGTCATTACGTATGGTCAGCTACGTGATGACGCAATACATTCAAAATCGAACCGTGCCACATCGGACCTCCTGGATCTCGACCCCTGAACGCATCTCTGGACCAACGACTCAGTCGTCTCCTTCTAACCTGGTAACGTCCTCTGATCACCTGTGTATGACCCTTGCCCCGTTTCTGACCCTGAGTAAGTCCAGCGATATTATCGCTCCTCTTGACAACACAGCCTGGAACCAAAACACATCAGCTGCTGTTTCAACCCGGACTTCAACTCAGCAGGAAAGGCTGGTGACTCTCTTTATTTTCACAAATAATACCGTGTTCACGACTCAACCTAACCCAAAGCTTCTGTGTCCAGAACTGACGACCCCGGAGTCCGGTCCCAACCTTCCWGCCAAAATTACGAACAATAAACTTGTTAAAACTTTGACATTGTTCGGCGTTTATTCAGAGCTCAGAATACAAACCATAACAATTTGTGAAATGTTAAATTTTAACACCCTTATTAATTTCACACTAACCAAATCATGATGAGTCACCCTTCACACTGCAGGAAGTACCTCTCACTCATGGTGTCGATTTTTGGTCAATAACACAAACTTAAACTTAAACAACTTAATCAAACTGAATAAGAAAACTAGAACAAATAATTTTTACACTCATGAATTTTAATAGTCATAAACATGCAAAAACATCATTTTTACAAGATTACCCAGCATCCCCTGCAGAGAAAACACTGGTCTGTCTGATATATGAGGTGGAAGAGGGCGGGGCTTTTTAGAACATCTTTCAACACTGCATGATGCCATACAACACTTAAGTGTTAAGACTTAACAGTGGGCGGGGCTTATTTAACATTGTCCAGTGTTGAGAACACTGAGGAAATCAACACTGTTTAACACCAACACTGTGTGTCAGTTTACTCACAAAGTGTAAATCAACACCCAAAAGTTATTATTTTAACACTGAAATTTTAACACTCTAGTTTTTGCTGTGATTTTCCATAAAACAATTATTAGATGTTCAAATTTAGTTGCAAACAAAAACACCAAAATGACAAAACGGCTTAACTGACCCATTACCACTGCCAGTTTCCAAAATTCATAATATGGTCCAGATTCAGACCAAACATTGGTACACTACAGTAAAAGGATGTTTACTACATAAAAATAGTGAACATCAAATAATTGAAGGATTAAAATGTTCCAAGAATGCAAATAGGGCTGCAACTAACGATTATTTTAATCATTAATCAGATTTTTTCAATTAACCGACCAAATCATTAAAACGCTTAATTACATGAATATGGGTAGATATAAATTAAGTCCTCAAGGAAGCAAGTTATTGATAATGAATTAATCTGAAGTTTATCTTATAGATTAACAATAAGCAGCCATTTTAAAAAAAACGTTTTCTCTTGAATCAAGAGGGTCTTCCCATGAAATCAAGGATTTTTTATAATCTCCTGAATTAATAAAACAGAAGCACATAATACATATT